AAAAACGCTGTTTTTAGGGGTTTCAACCCCTTTTTTCTCGAAAACGTGACGTGATGGGACATTTTTGACCCCGGATTCGTGTTCAGCACGAAAAATCCGTTCAGAAACACCAGGTCCCGTCTTATTCGCAAAACCCTTGTAGACCAGTGTTATGCGTAGTTCATCTGATAGGAGACGTACTGATTTCATACTATGTATTAACAAGAAGAACGCAACATAGAGGCCAAAAAGTGTAGGAAGTGTAACTATGACGAGGAAACTTTATTAATAATAATGGATAGGCGCTTACAAATACATATGTTAGTGTTTGGTCTCGAGCTTCTCCTCCGATTTGTGGCGTGCGCCTTGATGTTGTCACACAAAGTTTTACGCCGACTCTGAACGGCTATTGTATTTTTATGAGAAGCTGTTTTTCATGGCAGAAACACCGGTGTTAAGAAAAAACCATTTTTCTATATTTTTGCGATGTGCTTTGACCAGGGCTTGAACCCAGGCCCTGCTGAGTGGTAGCGAGCACTGCTAACCGAGGAAGGCAGAGGAAACTATGAAACATATGGTTTGCCAGTGTCCAGCTTATATCATGCAAAGACTCGCCTTACTCGACAAGGTACAGCTGCAGGGCTTACAGTCAGCAATCCACAAAGGACTAAAGTATCTACTAAAATTTGGTAAAGAAACGGTAATGTTCTTCAACATTCGATGAATGCATTGATTCATGGCAACACTATGAACGTTAACTTCGTCTATGTGAGACTCCTTATGAGCATTCAGTATACATATTCTAACTTATCCAAGAAATAAAGCGGGTGTGCCCAAAAGTATGCAACGAGAAAGCCAGAAACACTATGGAGAATGTTCAGGGGCAGGTAATGCCCCTATGGAAATATTGCATATTTTTATACCGGCATGTTATTCAATTTTTTGTTTTTTTTTCATTCAAAATTATAGCATGGATTTCTAGAAATTCACTGCAGATCAATCAGTAAATATTTAAAGTGCTTTAAAAAGGCTAGGAAATGAATGGGAAAAAGCCAATTGATGCCCTCAGAACTGTATGAGCCGAAATATTTACTCAAGATGCAACGTAGTACGAAACAACAGTTAGGCTGCCGTCCTCCATGCAGAACGACACTTATAGTGAAGGCAGAAATGCAAACAAAGTGTAATTGCTACATACTTAATCTTCACTAAATTTTTTTTTTTTAACGGAACTAAAATGCCTGTTGCTTTTGAAATGTTCACCAGGTATACCGGGAAATCCCAATTATAGTATCTGGAAGCTTTGTGGTTTTTATTATTTCTAATTTTGCATTCATGGCTTTCTTTTTTCCATAGCTTTTGTACTGTTTTATGTTTGCGAAGCAACAGCGGTATGCTCCACTTTACGAAATACACTCTGTATCTTCTTTACCCATTCACCGCACCAGAAATGCAAAACAAGTCTTTCAATAATAAAAATGTTAGAGTGCAACAACTACTAAATATATACAGTAAGTGATTGTCGACTTGGTTACAACTTTTGAATGCCTAAGTGGAACATTTGCATGCAAAAGGTCACAGAGGGTTGGTAGCTGAAAGACAGTAGAAAAGGAGTAAAAAAGCTCAGATAAGTTAGCAACGAAAAGCGACAAAAGCAAGATATGGACAACTTGCTGAAAAATTAAAATAAAAATTCGTTTAATGGTGCAGAAATACTTGATCTACATACTTTGTCTCCGTATGTCGAACGATTACGATTACTGCCATCGGATACGCGCATAAATGTAATTGTGCGAATGTGCACATCCAAAATTGTACATAAAATTCAGAATAAGCTGGTTGAGCATACTACCGAGAAGGAAGTGAAAATAAACGATTTATTTAATAACGGTAGGGCTCCATATTGTTTGTGCTGTTTGACATACTTAAAAACAAGCAGAAGTATATTTATAGAATAGAAATGCGGCTTTACTTGCGCGTACATTTATTTGCTTCCAACTCAACTCAATGGAAAGTTTGTGCTAGAAATCTTTCTGAAGAAATATGCAATTACATAAGCAAAAAGACAGCTAGAGAGCATTTGCGCTTATAATACGGAACGGAAAATCAACATCTCGTAATCGCAAACGGAATAAAACTTTGTGAAGGAAAGTTGCAATTATTTAACAAACGAGTTTGCTTTGTTGGAAACTAAAATAAGGTTAATGTAACATTTGTTATTAATTATTAATTTTAAATTAATTTACGTTTTTCTTATTTTATTTTAGTAATTTGGAGTGGTTAGCTTACTTGAGCGTAAGATGACGTAAACATAAATGGATAAAAGAAATAAAAAGAAAAAACAAATAGCTGTGACAGCTTTTAATACTAACTTTTGCAATTTTGAAGAATATTTTCGGCTCTTTAGAAAACCGAAGTAGGCACTTTGTGCCTTTTCCTGTACTCTATCTAAGACTTCATAGCCTTTCTACAGCGAGTAAGGTAATTTTTCCCTCACAGAAAATTTTGTAGGCACACTGTACGTGCACGCATTCATCTTCCATATTGGGATTCCTGCACTTTTTGTTTGCCACTTGGTGCGATCTCCTTTCGGGAGATAGCATTAAGCTTGTGTTTTCTTCTAAACCTTACGGTCCAAGGTTTTTTGCAAAAAATACTACCGATTTAATTTTTCATTTCGCGAATGGGAGGGCGAAAAGTTTGAAAAAGAAAAAGTTGCTTTTTTATATAAAGATGTATAACTTATTTATTTAATTAACACATAGTTGTTGATTTTAAATCCAGGTTGTTCTTTATTTACGAAAAAAATTCATACTATATGTATCTGACATATCGTACGGAATTGTTGATTGGTTTGTTAGTTCTGAAATAACTTCAATCAGCTCAATAAATGCATTGTTTTACTACGAATCACCCGACTTTAAGATACAAACAGCTGCGGAGAAGTTCCTACGACATGTTTTCTATTCGCGATTTAAATCTTGCAGTGTGAAAGTCTACATATTTCCATTCTGTCCCATACAATTCTAATTGAAGATTTTTATTGCAGCAGCGAGGCCGTAGATTCTGGAGGATCCTAAGTCGTTCTACCTAATGTAGGCTTTAACTAGTGAAAGCATCTCTCAGTCTACTCTCTTCAAACTTGTATTTTTTTCTTCTGCTATTAATGTATGTACTCCCACTTCATTGACTAGTGCACCATGAAAATTCATGAAAGGAAGGAGTGCGAAGACCTTTTTATTAATGGAAAGCATTTGCTCAACATTTCGACATCTAAGTGGCGCTGCCAAAACATTTGACACATTTGACGCATTCGTAGAAATATGAGTAGAGCATAAGAAGCTAAGGTGAGCCGGGAGTTAAACTGTGTATAAATAAGTCTCTATACAAGCACTTGTATTTGACTATTTTAAGCATTTATCACAAAATTCACAGTGCGTTGTGGGCGTTGGCGAAACAGCGCCAGAGGCTTCAGCACGTGCAGTTTGGTAGACAGTTTTTTTTTTTTTTTTTATATGAACAAAAAAATGCAAAATGCAAAAGGAAAGTCCAAACACAACAAAAATAAGAACTTTACGATAATCAATAGAAAAAAAAAATACAATTTCGCACAAAAAACTTGGGGTTACATGCACAATAAAATCATGCTAGCTTCGGTGAAATGAGAGTGTGAAGAGATGTAAGCCAAAATAATGTATTCAGCGCTAAAATTTGCCTTAGTAGAGACTCTTCCAAAAAGCTATTATTACTTTCCAGTGTAGTGCAGTATGTATCTGGCAAATGTAGGTAAAAATGGCGTAGACGGGGTTATAATCAGTGCTACGAAATCATTAATGAAATTAATGCAAACCGCTAATGGGCAGATTCTAGGATCTTGGGATGGATGTACACCACAATTGTCCAATCACAGTGGTTAGCGCTGGAGATAATTTTCGAAACTATGTACATACATATATACTAAATTCTTACTTAATATTAAAAATCGACGGCCGAGTGGAGGATCGAACTATCTCCGCAACCAGTTCGAAAACGCCTTATCTCACAAAAAAAAAAATTACAAGAACGCCCTATTTCAGAACTTGTTTGAAGAACGCCCTTTCTCAGAATTCGGTTTAAAAATGCTCTATCTCAACATATTTTCAATATATTTTCAGTTGAGATAAGGCGTTTTTGAACCGAATTCTGAGATAGGGCTTTTGCGAACCGACTGCAGAATTAGGTCGATCTTCCACTTAGCCGTCGAAATGCGAAAGAAACTCAGTTTGTTTATCACGTCACGCTTTCCCGCTTTAACAACTCAATTGATCATCATGAAATTTTTCACACTGATGTCATTTAGTCCAACTTTAAACATAGGAAAGTTTTTATCCTGTAGGGTATGGAGATTTGCAAAAGCAATTTCATACTCATGGAGGAGGACGGCTACCAAAAATGAAATTCAACTAGATCTAAGGGAATTATTTATTTGAAATTTGTATTACAACATGGGTTAAAAAGTTCTTTTCCGTTAAACTATAGTATAAGCTATAAGCTGTTCATTGTGAAAGGATATCACACATCTCAACTTTTCTTCTACCCTATTGAAGTGCTTCATCGCAAAATTGAAACTCAGGAATATTGTGTGATGGCTGTCAGGTTGTTAAAAATATCTACTCGCTAAAACGTTATTGGTATTGTGACAGCTGTCAATTACCACGCAGCAAAAGCACAATCAATGTTGTCATTTTTCAAGCACGCGCATAACCCAACTGCTTGTTTGAGGCATTTTTCACAGCTGCTAGGCCAATTTAGTGTGACTAAAAATAAAAGTATTGCATATAATTTGCCATCATTTTGTTTGGTTTTAAATTAGTGAATGCGTGTTTTTAATGAAAGGTAAATTACACTTGCGAGCTTCACATTATCCTTCCCGTTTGTGCTTGTCGTTGACATTCAAATGGGTTTCATTTTTAGCTCAATTATTATTAAATTAAATAAATAGTTTTATTTGAATACTTAAGTATAAATGGTGTTGTACTCACTTTCAACGGTGAATTGTACGGCAACGATTGGCTGTACATAGCCTTCGATATTTTTGAATGGGAAATAGTAGCCGGGGAAACCCATGCGTGGATAGTAATCACGTGATTTAATATTTTCCACATCAGCAGGATTTTCACCTTCGCACGAGATCCAAACGACATTGGTCTGTAAAGAAAAAAGGGAGAATGAGGGAACAAAAAATGTATTAGGATTAGCAGTAATGCCCATAGTAATAGATAAATATGGTGTAAAAAATAAATAAGCAAGTTTACAGAAATAAGAAAAATTCCCGACCTGCGACATTTTAACATGTCTTCTGATCTAAAATTTTTCGTAATTTCGATCTTCTGCGTAGGACAGTGCCACTGTCCAGCGTAAGATGTGTAGTTGGTAGTGGGCGTTGCAGCGTTCTTTTATTCTTTCTCTGGATGATCGTAGTGAACGACGTCCTGGAGGAGCTCTACAGGAGATTTCGGGTTATCGTCTTCACTGACAACGTGGCATTTATTGTCTGGGGTAAGTTTCTAAGTATACTGAATGATCTCATGCAGGGGTGCTCAAATTTAGCCACCAACTGTGATATTAACAGCCAAATGCCCAGCTTGTCTTCCGCGGCGGCTTTCCACTTGTACTCTCTGTTAGGGTCAAGCATTTTATTGTGAAAGCGGCCTCTCTAAGGCAACTGACTGGCTGTATTTACCATAATAAAGACCATTATATTGGATTGGATCATCGTCTGGTGTAGTTCAGTAGAAAAATCTACATCGATTACGAGATTCGTGCGCGAGCAGAGAGCAGCCCTTTTTGGAATCAGCGGGACTACTTAGGCTGTACTGCTCAACGCTATGCTTATCGTCGTAGCCGTACACATTGTATGTAAGGCTCACGCAGTCTGCTCCTTCATTGGGCAAGAATGATAAATTTTATTTTTCAATCTGCCGTTTGAGAGGCCAGAAATCTATGGTAACTTCGACTTCATATACAAAGTAACTGGTCAGTGCGCACAGCGTACACATTCTTCGAACGGGTATGATATGCATATGTATGCGGAATTCTTCGTTAACTATAGCCCCAGTCTCCAAAATTGTTTCAGGTAAAAAAAAATCGGTACAAATATTCACTTTTAAATGATGAGTGGGTTTTTGATAAATCATTCATCCTCCCTCCATATTAGTTCAGGTAAAAAACTGGTTACCTGAATCAATTTTGTAGAAGATGGATGAATTACCAAAACTTTATTCGCGGTTTTACTTATTATTATATGTACGGTGACTATCCGTTCTGTTTTTTGCAGGGCCGTACTGTTTTTCAAAGGTCGGTCCTGCGTAGTTTTTCAAACCTGAAAAACCTGAAAATGTACTGATTTTTTCCAAATGTCCTGCATTTGTCCCGCATTTTATTCGTTATTTTAAAATTATCGGACAATGGATGGATTTTTTCAAAAAAGTGTTTTTTGTTACTTTTCTTAGCTTTTCTTCAATATCTCATGAAAAAATCTCCAAATTAACGTAAGCGACTTACAGCTCGAAGGGTATTGATGTGCCTCTTACCAAAATATATAACTTGTGGCGACTTCAATGAAAATTATTAGTGCTACAGGCGAAAAAATGAGATTTTCAATCAAATACGCAGATTCATTTGATTATTATTTTTTCATTATTTAAAACATTCGTAAATTTTGAGCCAAAGATAATGAAAATCGGATCAGAAATGTAAATGCTATGGAGCGCAATCTGCACAAATTATTTTTTTTGTAAAGGGCACTTTGTAACTCGTCGTTTACGTCGATTCATGATGTCGAATTTTGACAAATAACTGCGAAAAGTACTAAAAAAACAAAAAAAAGGGGGGTATTGTTTTCGTTTTGAGCGACTCAAGATTTGCCTATAAAATAATCTTTTAAAGATTTTAACTTCTCGTGTAAGCTATTGTAATTATAATATGTTTTACTATACTTTTATAAATATTCATGTAAAAAAAGATTAATATCAATGAAGAAAACGTGATTCATTTTTAAAGTTTAAAATGTGTTAAGAATTTAGAATCATAAATACTCTTTTGATATTTTTATACTACGTAAATATATGTAGGCATACTTTTGAAAAATTGTCCTTCATTTTGAATCCATATTTATGGTCACCGTAATTATATGGGCAATCAGTGGCCCCAAAAACCGCTAGTAACAAATTTCGAGTGAATCCAATAATTTTTCAAAACTTCGTCCGCCATATTTCAAAAAACGCCAGTCATCATTTAAAAGTTAATATTTTAACGTATTTTCAAGACTGAACCAATTTCGGAGAGACGGAGGCTTAGCTGACGAAGAATGTCTTAGGTATATGGAAAATTGAAGCAAATTTTGAGCTGAATGAATTATTTATTTATTATTATTATTATTATTAAAAACAAAATATTCTTAAAATTTAGTGGGCATAAAAGGGTTCAATTTGGGACCTTGCGGAATTTTTATTTATATTTTTTATTTATTTTTTTTTTTATTCTTGACTATCGATTTTTTGAATTTTTAAAATTTTCCGTTCATGTTTCGAAAGTTTTCAATCGCGTTTGACTTTAGTAAGCGTTTTGCTTTTACTACGAATGGAAATAATGTTAGCAAATATAAAAATGTGGTTGAAGGACTTGCCACTTAGCAAAAATATACAAATGTTAAATAAAAATTTTTGCGATCAGAAAAGATGTGAAACAACGTTCAAAAATGATGCAAAAAATTTCAAGTAAAACATTTTTAGCCATGAAAACTAATAGATTTGTTTATTTCCCTGGCCAACAAATGTTATTTTTCGCGTTTTGTTGAACCACTTATCACCAGTATAAACCATTCTTAGTTTCTGCGCCATTTGCTTTTTGTTTTTGTTTCAAAATTCATATGATTCATACAAAACTCTTACCTGATTTGGCCGCAAGCTTTCCTTTTCTGTAATATGATTTTTCAGTTCGACAGGCATGTGGTCTGGCAGAGATTTCGAAGAGTTGTACAGAGCCGGTTCCCAGTTATAAATCTGCAAAATAAAGAGAGGGAGAGAAAAAAAAAACAAACGTTTAAAAACCCACTAAATTTTTAATTAATAGTGGCAACATTTTACCTTGTTCAACTTGAGGAATATGCATGGCCTGGCCTGATGATAACCGAAATTGTTCTCCTTTGTGCATGGAGCAAAAGCATTTGGATCAAAAGCGCATACCTTGCCCTGTGTTGGTGGATTTTCAAATGAACAATTCATTTGATTATGCTTGGGTAGATTTTCATAGGCTGTGAGTGAGCAGACAAAGGCAGTATTTAGATTAGTACAAAAGTTAGAAGAAATAGAAGAAAATAGGCGCCTACGAATTAGCAAAGGAAAATAGCAGTTAAAATACATAAATTTACTACTTTCAGGGTGGAAATAAATTGTTACTTCGTTACTTGAAACTAATATTGGCACTAATTATACCAAGATTTTTAAATTCTGGCTTTTAAATTCAGTTTTTAGCTAGCAATACAGGCGCAAAATCTAGCGAAACTATTTCGTTGCAAAGTATTAAGTAGCCAGCTGCGGCCTAGCCATTCTTAGTGGGTAGCTTTTGAAATTTTTTTAATTGTGTATTCTTTTTTTCAAGTTTTTTTTTTCTACTACACACACTTACTTTTAGGCACCGCTAAATATTATGCCAGATTCACCATTAGGACCACATAAATATAAATTAAAAATGTTTAATATTAAATAAAAGTAAATAATATTGAGTTCGTCATTAAATAAAAAAAAAAACTGGCTGCACTTAGTTACATATCCTTAACTTAATGTAGAATGTAGTATGTAGAATAGCCCTATCTAACATTTTTGTTTCTTTACGGAGTGCTGAAAAAACTCGATAGAAAATTAAGTCCTTTGGCTGTATTTCTTGTAAACGGTGTTTTTATGAAAGAGTGTAACAAATTTTGTGCTGTAGCTATGATTTTTAAATCTCAACATGTTTTTTAGTGAGTAATTGGCAGACTTTTGTACAATACTGAATTTGAAAAGAAAATGAGTTAGGGCCTTTTTATGGTATATTAAGGTAACGGTATGTTAATTAGTTTGAAACAAGTTAGGGTAGGGCTGTCTTCGGTTTCATACTGTTTATGAGAATAACGTTTAAAATTTAACATTAATCTATGATTTCATGAACTACTTAAAACGAATAAAAAGAAAAAATCAACGAAAATTTAATTGTAAAAAGAAATAAAATGAAAATGAAGCAAAATAAATAAAAATCATCTTTAACAATTAAATGAAGTTAAAATTCAATTTTTGCTTGTTAAAATAATAAAATCTAAATATTAAAATCAAAAGAGAAGAAAATATTGTTTAAAAATTAAATATTAAAAAAAGTATTTTTTATTTCTAAAACCAAATCTAGGAACTAAAAGAAAATTAAATGAATAAATAGAAGAAATAAAATAAGAACCTAAAATTAATGAAATAAAAATATATATATTTTTTCTTTTTGAAACAGTAAAATGTAAAAAATTAAAAGCAAATGACGTTAACGAAAGAAATGTAAACTAAATTAAAAAAGAAAAAAATAATTTAATTAATCTTCTAAAGTTAAATGAAATTTAAAAAAAATGGTTTCTTCTTCAAACAATAAGATCTAAAAATGAAAAGAAAACTAAACATAAAACGAAAAAATGTAGTTGAAAAAAATTTAAAATAAAAATTAAATTAAGTTGAAAATAAAACTTTTTCTTTAAACAATAACATCTAAACAATACAAGGAAATGAAATTGAGAAGGAAGAAAATACATATAACAGAATACATATAATCAAATGAAATCCAAAATATAATTTCTTTTTTTAAAACAATAAAATATAAACAATAAAAAAAAAATTAAAAAAGAAAAAATTTAAATAAGAAAACAAAAAAAAATAANTAATAAAAAAAATTAAAAAAGAAAAAATTTAAATAAGAAAACAAAAAAAAATAATACGCTGCGTGATTCTCGGACTCGCATCTTAAGAATGGCACGCCTGTGCTTTGCTCACTCAGCCATTGCGACTATCGGGGCGACGCCTTGCCAAAGGATATACAGGTACTTTTTCTCAAAAAAACTTTTCACCACAATTGGTGAGGTTTTATTCTAAGACTTTTGTGCTAGAATAACAAAAATCTTTCGAATTACCCATCTGTCTCACATTTGTATTTTTATTACCTTTGCCAAAATTGCCCAGTAAATGATATCACAAAATCACTTATCGATCTTCATCTTTCTATCGGCTTTAGTTGTGCAAATCTCAAAATTCAAAATAAAATCTCATATCACAACAATCACTTGTGCGAAAGCTACAAATAAGTATGTACATTAGGGAGCCTCTGCAAAAAAGTTGCCGTTTTTCCACTGGGATTGTAAAATTTATATTTAAAAAATATAAAAAATAAGTAAAAATATTAAGATCTAAATTTGATTATTTTGATTCCGTTGCAAAGATTTTAAAACATTTTTACGCAGAAAAAACTTAAACTCATCTATCATTTTTTGGGAGAAATATTTTTGAAAACTACTTTCATTTATAAAACAAAACTCGGTTTGAAAATACCACCAAAAATTGTGCTCAAGTAGATCTCAATATTTTTATGAAATATTTTGGCGGAGGCCTAAAAAATAATAGATTTTTTAGTTTCGATGGAAAACAGTATCGATTCTATTTTTTTTTTTTTTTTTTTTGTATAGTGAGTGATGCATCCGAATGTACACATATGTTGTGGTGTTCCGGATCTGGTCAGTACCGACAAATGGTTAACACCTTATAAAAAAAATAAACAAACATTTTCTAGCCTTTGACGCAGATGACGACACATTCTAACATAGAAGTTAACAAATAGACACAGCTATTTTTTAATTCCAAAACATCGACACACAAATTCAAGAATATTGATTGTCCGTTGTTTGTTCAACACATTTAGTGCTTCACATTGAGTTAAATATAAATTTTACTTATACTCACATTGAAGGAATGTTGCAGTTTCATCGACCCAGTATTTATAATTTTCGGGTCTCGATTTCTCATACCAGATTAAAGTACTCTCAACATTTGCCTCTGGGGGCATTGGTCGAAAGCCGAGACCTGTAAGCAAAGAAAATAGAAAGTTTTTAATAACCCAGTAATGTACAAGTAGACTTTGTAATTAATTCACTAAGACTTCAAAGGAAACCCGATTATACGAATTAAATTTTAATTCAATTGAGCGTAGTTTCAACAGAAAAAAAAATCTAGTCATGTTACGTATACGCCCCACACACCAGCACATTGAGTAAATAAAAGCGCCCGCACAAAAACAATTAATAGCAGGCAACAAATTAGAATCATCAATTTATATGATTAAAGCAAAGTCAATTACAAAGCAGCGATGAATTTCAGAAGGCGCATAAATTATATCCATCCTTGTAATTAAAGTCACTTACATATAAATAAATGCAAGCGGTGGCCGAGTACTTCAATCGCCACCGCCATTCTTACATATTTAGGAACCTAATAAAGATTCAATATACGCGGCCAAATATTGTAAGAGAACACGCGCTTGCCACATGCTGTGGCAGTAAGAAAAAACTAAGTAGCGGCTAAATGAAATTGCTGCCGCTAAAATTGAAAAGAACACGCGCCAATGCTTATTCAGTTAAGCATACGACGTGTTGACCTATAGCAAAATTCTATATGAGAATTACAATTTATTTTGGCTTTTACATATGTATGTACATATATCCGTATCTGTGTATGTGCATGAATTTAAATAATCAAAAGCTAAAAGCAGCGGAACAAACATATTTTAGATTCTAGATGCAGCAGGGGGTGCGTGACATTACATAAATTAAATGCGTCAAATAATACTTATGTATATAATATTATTTTTGCTGGGATATTTTATTGACATGTGAATTACGGAAATTAAAAATACATATGGCTCGGTTCCTGTCAGTCGCATAGCTGCCAAAAGAAAAAAGTTACAAGTTCTTTTCGANGTATATAATATTATTTTTGCTGGGATATTTTATTGACATGTGAATTACGGAAATTAAAAATACATATGGCTCGGTCCCTGTCAGTCGCATAGCTGCCAAAAGAAAAAAGTTACAAGTTCTTTTCGAAAGTTATGCAAAGCTCTAAATATGAAAATTTCGGAAGTTTATTTTTTGAATATGTCAAAAACTGTTCTACATGGTTACAAAATTGATTAATGGCCTGAAATTAACAAAATCGTAAAACCGAAAACTTAAAAAATTATTTTTGGCAAATTTTTTATACAAAATTTCCAACTGATCTTAAAAGATCTTTAAATTTTCAAGCAGGTGTGTTTTAAAGATATAAACTTTCGAACTAAGAAAAAAAATTTATACAAACCCTTAATAAAGTTGCGTTACATTGTTTCATTTAATTTAAATAAATTATTTATTTCGAGTTTGCAAACTTTTTTTTATTTCAAAAATTCATAGCAACAAAATACCTTTTCAAGTCAAGAGTTTATGAGTTTCTGAGGNATTACATTGTTTCATTTAATTTAAATAAATTATTTATTTCGAGTTTGCAAACTTTTTTTTATTTCAAAACGTCATAGCAACAAAATACCTTTTCAAGTCAAGAGTTTATGAGTTTCTGAGGCTATAATTTTCTAGTCGGTCTGGTTCAGGGGATAGCGTTTACCCATTCCCAAGGCAGTCGGCTCTACATGCTCGAATTTTACCCGGCAAATGAAGGTTAAGATCGGTGAAAACCATTAAGTGTGAAATGCAAAATTTCTCGAACTTATTTTGCCTTACTGATTTCTAAATTAAAGCTANTAGTCGGCTCTACATCGGTGAAACCATTAAGTGTGAAAGGCAAAATTTCTCGAACTTATTTTGCCTTACTGATTTCTAAATTAAAGCTATGTATATATATTTTTAGCAGTCCAGCTGTAACGACTCCAGCAACTTGATTCTCTCAATATCTTCTCCTTTCGTTGTCGTTATTGATCAGTTATGTTTTTGCTGTGGAAGGTGTATACATGTAGCGTGGGCGGAGAAATGCTGATGGTGATGTAAAAATTACCACTCCTNATGTATATATATTTTTAGCAGTCCAGCTGTAACGACTCCAGCAACTTGATTCTCTCAATATCTTCTCCTTTCGTTGTCGTTATTGATCAGTTATGTTTTTGCTGTGGAAGGTGTATACATGTAGCGTGGGCGGAGAAATGCTGATGGTGATGTAAAAATTACCACTCCTCAACGTTTATGCAATTTTTTCTTTCAAGGAAGGTTGACCTGTATATTTTACAATCACATTTTTTTTAATATGATTTCCAGTATCTAGTGGAAAGTTGTTGATTTTAAAAGAAAAAATAAAATTTTTTATTTACTTTAACTTAAAAATCTAGTAGCTTAGTTTAAAAGAAAAAATTATTATAAAATGGCCAATTTGTATTCAAATTTCTAACTAAAATTCGAAGGGGTAAAATTTACCACCACGTCACAGACTACGTCCAAAAAATACACCTCCATAGTTAAAGATTAGTATCTATAATTCTTTAGAACATAAATATATATTTCCATCTTTAAATATGCTTCGATGACTCACTCACCTGGATTCGAACCAATTAACCCATCGCTCATTGTCCACTTGGGTTTATCCACCTGAAGTGTTTGATAAAACACAGCCAACATGGCAGCGAAGAATCCAGTTAACGCCGCATAAAAAATAATGTAGAAAAATAAAATTTTTGCTGCAATGAAAAGAATATGAAAAAGGAAATTAGTTTAAGTTTTCAACTCACTTTAATTAGCTCTACAATTTCATAGTAATATAAAATGATATAATTTATAATACTTAACGTCAAATTACAATTCATACAAGTATATGCATATATATATATAATTAAAAATAATGTATTCTTCTACCATTTAAAAAGTTCATAAAAGTTAATATTTGGTTATAGACATTTACGATTTTTTTGCCACCTACTCAATTATGGAAGCAAAATTCGAAAAAGTCACTAGTTGCACATACTGTTCCATTTAATGGTAACCAACTCTGTCAAGTACTTATTTGTAATACTGAGTATGCTTAATACCGGGGACAGACATCTGGTATTTCTTCGAGGTATTTCCAAAATACCATATATGTATCTGTCACCAAATATTATAATATTCTTCAAAATACTACGTGAGCAACCTAGTATTTTTTGTAGAAAGAATACAACTTTCCGAAGGTTGTAATTTTGTGGTATTCTAATTGTGAATGGGAATTTCGCACTGAACATACCTAGAAATGACAGCTGCTCATTTATCAAAGAATCATTGAAATTTTCGCGCGATCTAAACCAAAAACTTATACCGCAAATATTGATGCAATTTATAAGCAATTTTTGCATTATTTTTACATTTTAATGTTTATGTGTTGTTCTTTAGAAACGTTTGATTTGACACTGGAATATTAAGTTAATGCCTGTAACTATGGTAGTATTTTAAATACCACAATAAGTTTACCAGAATGCAAATACCAGATGTATGTCCCCGGTATAACATAGCGAAAGTCCCGATATTTTAGAATTTTTTTATATANTAGATATACAATTTTTCGTTATAATTCTTCCATTTAAGTAGCTAGGAATATGAAATTTGGCACTATTGTCACTCATTATCAAAAGAATAGTTTCAGTGAAAATGGCGAAGAACGGGTCGCTATAACCTATAGCCTCCATACAACAAATTGTTCAGATTCGAGATTCTTTGTTATAACTACTCCATATATGCAGCTAGAAACATGAAATTTCTCAATATTTTCACTAATTACCAACAGAAAGTTTACAGTAAAATAAACAAAGATCGGGTCACTGTAACCTATTTATATCCTCCATACAACTGATTATTCAGATATGGGGTTCTACTGTAAAAGTCCTTTATTTGGACTGCTAAAACAGTTAAATTTCGTAAGCTATTCTATAAATAATAATACAAAGTCTACTGAGAAAATCGTCAAAATCTGTGCTGTATAAGCTTTAGCTCTTATCTAAACCCATTAAATTGTGTTTCCGGTTTACATACCGATCACACAGCAGTGAAAATCACTTAGATTGGTGCTCTCTGATTATTTAGATATGGTTTTTTTTCATATATGTATCTCCTCTATCTATGTATTCTGTAAATATTTAAATTTTTTCAATTGCAGTAACCTATTAAAGTAAAACTTTCAGATGTTCATGAAAGGTACGAAGCAAGGCGTATTTAACAGGTGATAGCAGCACCCTTTTATTTTCCTTCGCCTCCCGGCTTCGTATGTCAAATGGCTGCTGTTGATTGGTTGGAGCAGTTGATTGTTTATTGTTTTTCGTTCTCTTTCACATCATTCCTATGAAATTTTTGACAGTCCTCGCCGCAAAAGCAAAAACAAAATACATGTACATTTTGTTGTTGGCGTACCGATACCACCTTATTGAATACGTCTTGGTACGAAGGCTTCGGCTACTCTTACTTGTTTTTTTTTTTTTTTTAATAAAAAATGGTAAAAATGCCGCTTCTGTTATTTTCGCGGTTAGTGCTCGATGAATATAAATATTAAATCATTAAAAAGTCCGGGCGAATTGCGATAATATTCCGAAAACATGAAAAAATACTCGAGTACCGAAAATTCATAAAAAAGGCAAAAGTTGCGAAGATGTTCAAAAAAAAAAGCCAATAACTCTAAAAGTATCCCAAAATCCGAAAGAGTGCAGTTCCGGAGTCAAAGTTTTTGTCAAAGTCATCAGTTTTGAAACGTTCCTTCGAATTTCGAAAATTGAATGTGAAATTAGAGAGCGTGGCCTATAGAAGTGAGATAAAGTTTTATATTCTGAAGTTGGAAACTGAACCATGCAAGACTTCAGTCCACTCAGCAACGGCTGGACGGATTTAGTTGAAATTTGGTATGCGGGCCGCTTATAACTGTTACTCACATTAAGAATATATTTCAGGTTTTTGAAGAGGATTTTCATCTTTTTAAAATGTTAAATTCAATTTCAAATATGGGTAATAAAGTAGTTTAACTTCGCCGCGTCTGGGACTCGCACAGAATTTCTTTCTTTATGACTCTTTTTATGTTTTCATTATTTTTATACTGTTTTGCAATTGAGAGCAATAGTACCTTTTTACTTTATTTGTGCTTTTCTTTATTTTTTTTTTTAAAGCTTATATCTATTATAACATATCTATATGTGGCTGTTTACTACTGTTAACTGTTATTTTAAAAACCAATTTTAGAGTAATTGCCAGTTGACTTTACTGCCATGTTTTATTTACCGCCCTCCAATTGCACTTAGGCCTCCTTGCCTGCGCACGATTACACGTCTAGCGTTTCCACTTCGTCCACTATTTCCTCCAACACTTACACCATTTCGAAGGCGACCATTTCCATTTCCAAGGCGACCATTTCCATTTCCAAAGCGACCATTTCCATTTCCAAGGCGACCATTTCCATTTCCAAGGCGACCATTTCCATTTCCAAGGCGACCATTTCCATTTCCAAGGCGGCTATTTCCATTTGCAACGCGGATATTTCCACGTACTACCCCATTTCCAAATCGGCCACTCACTCCAAGTCCTACGCTGTTTGCAAGCGCTTGCCTGCGTACAACTACACGTCTACTAAGTCCATTTCCATTTCCATTTCGTAACTGGTAGGACAATGACACAAAGGCCAATAGCGAGAACAGCATTAAAAGACGCATGCTGATTCTTTATTTATTTGATGAAAGTTTATTATAAAGATGGTCCAGCGCAACCATGTACTCAGACTCAGTGTAAGCACAGCTCTGCTGAAATTGCGCAAATGTGGAACTTTTATAGTGGAACATTTATTTACCTTTTCAAATGTGACTTTTGAACAGTGTTTGTATGTATTGTAAATTGAAGTTTCCCTGCAAAAAATTGTGCGACTAATCTCTAAAGAGAGTATTCCGAGATTCCTCTCAATCGGGTACAATTGGGCATTAATTAGTCGCAACTAGTCTGATACGGGTACTATTGGAGGTCAATTAGTCTCGACTCATCCCTTGCGGGTATAATTGGAGATCAATTGGTCCCCGACTCATCCTTAACGGGTACTTTTTAACGATTTAATGATATGTGCGCACTTAGTCGATGAAATTTCATGTCTGGCGTTGGCACACAGAGAGAGTATTCGCCTAACAAAACTGAGCACCCCGGTTCGAATCGCGGCTGGCGCAAATTTTTATTTTTATTTTTTAAAAGTGACTAGTCGCTTTTTATACCCGTTCGGGTATAAAGGTGAACAATTAGTCTCTTCATAGGACATGCTCGAACAAAAGCCATCTGTTCATTCCATATAAAGAGATCAAAAGTGGTATTAGTCGCATGCTCCTTTGCGATTGATCCCGGAGTCATCCCGGATTAGTCCCATTTTTTGCAGGGTTATTACATAAAGTTGAGCAAATTTTTAGGTGCAATGTTTTTTTTTTGTTCGTAAAATATTTTTGTGTACTTCCCTATGTTGCTTTAAATAAATATTTATTAAGCGACACTTGCGCTTTTACGTAAACACTGTTTTTAGTCTTTAAGGTACACTTTAAATTACATAACTGTTATAAATAAGTGCATATGCACAAGAAAATTTCGAATATTACTTGGTTCCGGCGAAGATGGGGGTCGCCTTTTTGCATTTTTGGGTCACACCTACATTCGGCAATAAACATTTTTTTTTTTAAACAGTTCCACTGGAATAATTAAAATACCTCCTTAGCAAAATTTTAATCATTAGGGTAGGTTTGGGTCCCACCACGTTAAAACCGCTCCCAATGAAAATCAAAAATATGCCTCGCATGAGATAGCCTTCTATGATTTGAGGGTATGCTCCCAGAATATTCGGACTCTTAATGAGGTAGATGTCTCTGCCCAGCTGGCTTATACGGACAAAACCTGACATCACCACCATCAAAAAAAAAAATGCGATGCCCGGGGCAAGGCAAGGAAAACGTGGTGCTGTCACGCAAATTGGGTATTGGACTTGGGTGGTGGGAGGGAGACTCCGTCGCCAAGTACTGTCATTCATCCCAGTGTACGAACGTTTAGGTACAATCCACATCAAAGAGAGATTCTTCCGCATCTCTCTGAGCATGCACCGTCGGAAGAGAATGGAGAGAATTCAGCCTCCACGACGTAATGTCAGAAGGCACGCCTCCAGTGTTTTAGACGTACATACATACGTACACTTCGAGGTCCAAAAGTCGACTCGGACACTATCTTGTTGCAGCCAAGATACGCATTCGCCTCTGTGCAGCAAAAAATATGCGCCCACAATTTCAAGGCTAATTTATTCGCTACTCGACTCTCACACCTAATCTCTGAGAGCACTCTTCAACAAACATTTAACGCAAATTAAGTACCTCCGCCTAAGTAGTAGAAAAACTGAGTGAAAAAAATGTAGCCTACAGGGTCACGCAGCGATCCGCCGCAACGCGAGCTACATATGTGGGACCAGTATAGAGAACTGAAGAGGGAAGCGATACGTATTTTCTGTAATAAGGAGAGGAAGGCCGAAACACGTGAGTGCGAAGATCTAGAAAGCTGGCTGGGAGGAAAACACCTGAAAATTGTATCAGAGAGGTAGTCGACTTGTGGAAGGTTTCAAAACCAGGCCGAACTCCTTTAAGAACAACCTTAGTGTCCTAGTGAGCGATACTTAACGTGGTCGGTCTTACCAATAACCAAAAAGATGATAATTGTTGGTACA